GTATCCTAGAAGATTATTTTATGCTTACAAGATGTCAACTTCTAACACTTTCCCATTCTCACTTTCAGCTGATAGATACCTGTTATGAATTTGTCAAATTAACACTTTTTAAGTGGAGCAGAGGGTGCTGGATGGTGAGCAATAGTTCAACAACAGACCACAAGAGAAATTGAAATAGAGAAGTTTGTTACAGGTCCTGGAGGAAGTGCCCAGCATGGCTCAAGGGGTCACACGAGGAGGTCAAGGCAGAGTGCCGATAGAGAGAGACATACGGGACGTTGGGCACCTGCCTTTATTAGTGTTCATGGGTGGAGTGCTTTGGGATTCCTGGGCTAAGACAGGGTTGGTCAATTTAAACCAAAAGAGCTGAGTTTTGGTAAATCCCACTGGAGGGTCTTATCTAAGAGGCACATAAAGGAAAGGTGTTGGGAGGCAGGGGAGACTGTTGATCACAAGGGCTTTTGGGGAGGTCATATGAGGAACTTAAATTTACTTGCGATTCTGTGGGCTTCTGTGTAGGGCATGTGCTTGCATGAGGGGCTAGTGTTAGTTTAAGGTCACTGCAGGCTGCTTGGCCAAACCAAATGTATGCTGAGGCAGCAATACTGTGGAGGAGCGTAACTAAACTCTTGACAATACCCATGTTTCCTACACCATTGAGAAAATAGAAGCTCTTAGAAGAGAGCTTTTACTGCTTCCCTTAACCGCATCTACCAACATATCTGAATCTGTACCCCTATTTTCTCTTTTTATTTCTTTGGAAGAACTGTTTATACTCTCATCTAAGGCCAAACAAACTCTGTGTGTACCCTAAAGCCTCAAGGACCCAAGAATGTCACTCTGGAATTCTCCCTTCCCTCTCCTGCCTCATCGGTGTCTCTCACTCTCCTGTATCATTCCTGCCAACATACACATGGTGCTATTTTATCTTCCATTTAAAAAAAAACTCTTTTGATCTCACATTTCCCTTGAACTACTGTTCCATTTCTCTGCTCCCTTTCACAGCAAAATTCCTCTAAAAATTAGTTTTTACTGTCTCCATTTTTTTTCTTTCTTTCTTGAACTCACTCCAATTAGGCTTTCATACCCAACATTTTCCTAAAACAGCTCTTGTCAAAATCACCAGTGACCTCAATGTTACTAAATCCAGCAGTCAGTTCTCAGTCTTTGTCTTCTTTAACACATTTGCAGCATTTGGCATCGTTGATTCCTTTCTTCCAGAAATACTTATTCACTTAGCTTTCTCTCTTTATTATTATTATAATTATTAGTTTTTTTTTTTTACTAAGAGAAATCTAAGATTCTTTTTTTTTTTTATTTTTAAAGATTGGCCTTGAGCTAACATCTGTTGCTCATCTTTTTTTTTCTTCTTCTCCCCAAAGCCCCCCAGTACATAGTTGTATGTTCTAGTTGTAGGACCTTCTAGTTCTGCTATGTGGGATGCCACCTCTGCATGATGAGCGATGCTAGGTTTGTGTCCAGGATCTGAACCGGTGAAACCCCAGGCCACCGAAGGGGAGTACGCAAACTTAACCACTTGGCCACTGGGCTAGTGCATAGCTTTCTCTCTTGACTCTCCTCTTACGTCACTGCTTATCCTTCTTAGTATCATTTGCTGTTTTTTCCTTGTCTTACTACCCTATAAATGTTGGAGTGCCCCAGGACTCAAATATCAGACTTCTCTATTGAAAATCACTCCCCAGGTGATCCCATCCGCTCTTATGGTCTTAAATATATTTGATGATTCCTAAAGTTGTATCTTCAACTTTGACTTCTTGACTGATTCCAGACTTGTTTATCCAACTGCTTCAGTCATGTCAGTTAGGCATCTCAAACTTAACATGTCCAAATCCCAAATCCTAACATCCCTCACTCTTCTTCTCTTTGTCTCAAATAGTGTCTATTCCATCCTTCCAGTTGCTCCGGCAAAAGCCTTGGAAACGTTCTTGATTTCTTTCCCTTTTACATCTCATATCTAGTGCATCCAGAAATCCTATTAGCTCTACCTTCACAATATCAAGAATTTTATCACTTCTCAACACCACCACACATACCTATCTTGTCCACTTCATCTTTATTTCTCGCTTGTGGCATTGTAGTTGCCTCCTAACTGATGTCTCTGCTTCCACCCTTGACCCCTAAATTCTTCCCTCAACCCAAGAGCTAGTGTGATACTCATAAAATATTAATTTGTAGTATGTTATTTCTCTGCTCAAAACTATCCTGTCTTCCCATGTCAGTGAGAGTCAGATCCAAAGTTTTGATGGCTTAGAAGCTCATATATTACTTTATTCCCATGACGTCTGTCCTTAGCTGCCATTCGAACCCATGTCCATACAAGGGGAGATACAGTTACTTCTTTGCTGTTCTCTGAATATGCTAATTATGCTCGTGCCTCAATGTCTTTGCACTTGCGACTGCTCCCATGGGCTGGAAAACTCTTCTCTGAGATCTCCTTGGCTCTCACCTCCCTCCTTTAAGTCTCTGCTCAAATATCACCTTTAAGGACAGTCGTTTGTTAATTATCCTTTATAAAACAGCAACAACCTTCCTTTTACTCCCTAGTTCTTCAAGACTAGGCATCCTTTTTTCTGTTACCATAGCATATTGTGCTTATTATACTTATAACCAGTTGACATACTATGTTTTCACTTATATATCATTTATGTTCGGTATCCGTGAACTAGAATGTTAATTCCATGAAGGCAGCCATTTGGTTTATTTCATTTACCTCAGTATCCCTAGTCCCTAGGACAGTGCCTATCATATAATAAGTGCTCAGTAAATATTTATTGAGTGAATGATGGATTAATGTGTAGACGTGGGTTTTTTTTTTTTTTTGGTATTGATTGTGGTAGGTACTCTTTTAGTCTGAGGACTCTGTTTAATTCTAAAACATTCTCAGCAATTACCTTCTAAAAATATTGCTTTATCTTTCATCCCACTGTTATCTACTTCTGGAAGTCTTTAGGCGTATGTTGGAGTTTCCCAGTGGAACCTACATGTCTTAGCTGTGTTTTCATATTTTTAATTTCATCGTTTTTCTATGCAGTATTCTGGATGAATCCCTCATTACTATCCTCCATTTCACTAGTTCTCTTTTTGCATCTAGTTTTGAGCTTAGCCCATTTAAGTGTTTTTGATTCAGTGATTATAATTTTATTTTCAAGGTTTTTAAATATATTTTTAGATTAACTTGTTTTTGTTTTTAATTTTGGTTATTCTTTTATGTCTTTAAAGATCCTTACTTAATTATTTTAAAGTCTTTTTCGTTGTGTTCTGTTATTTTCAGTTTCTCTAGAGTGACTGCTTCTTCGGATTATTGAGTTAATGTGTGCATGTGTTGTGTGTGAGTGTGTGTAGAGTGTGTATTTTCTTTATGTGTTTTGGATTTTTTGTTTGTAGTCACATCTTGAGCGGGAGAGTTGCTGTTACTCTTCTCTTCCTCTTCTTTCCTGACTATCCCTCCTTGTCTAATGCCCTTTTCTCTCTAGAAATTTTGTGTTTGCCACTAAATTGTCACCTTACCTCATTCCCTCATCTTGAAATAGGTTTTATTTTGGTAGCCTGGGGCTCTTAGCCAATAGTGATGCAAGGAATTTACTATATTTAGTTCCTGAGCCATAGGGTGTTTTGGCTCAGCTCCTGATGAGGATGCTGTATCTATAAATGTTTGCCTTCCTAGACTTTCATATAAGCCTTAGTTCTAGGCAAGGGCTGACAGAAGTCTTTTCAGCCTGCTTTCAGAAGTTGGGAGCCCCATCCTACTCTCTGGTTTCAAACAGTGAGCCTGGCTGTGCTTCTACATAGTGAGCAGGGCACTTGTATTTCCTATTGTCCCCAAGAGCCAAGCTCCTTTCCACCTTAGCCTGCTTCTGGATCTGGACGGCTGACAGCAGCTTTATCCTTCTTCGTAGTATTGTATTTCTGTTTAGTTTGTGATCCTCAGAGATGTGGCTGTGTCTCATTTTTTTTCTTTTGTTTTTCTATTAATATTATAAATTTAGAGAATAGAAAGGAGCTTCAAAGTGTGAACTCACTGTGCTAACTTATTGAAAGTCTAATTTAAATTTTTTAATGTACTGTTAGACCATCTGAATTTACCTCTTTTAACAAGTGGTATACTTTTCTGATTGGTGAATCTTCATTCTAATATCCCTTTGTACATTCTAAGACCCTTTGCTTCATTTCATTCTTTCTCAAGTGAGGAGCTTTTTCTTCTTTCTTACCTGCACATATGATTCATAAGTGATTTGCTTACAAATTTCTATTTATTTTACCTATGTTTAAAGTTTAAAAAAATATAAATAGGTGTCCAATAAATTTCTCCCCCGTTTATGTGAATTGACGAGTGTTACCCTGATTGTATAATCTTTTCAGACCTTTGTCTCTTCCCTTCTCTTCCTTTTTAAAGCTATTTTTACAAGATAGTCATTATTTACAATCATTGTGATTTTATGTATTCCAGAGAACTATACTTTGACTATACAATTACCATTTAAGTTAGTATATTCTCAGGGACTAGAAACCTATAGGAAGGTGTCAGAAATCCAAAAATGTTAGTCATGGGATGTTGGTTATTAGTAAATCTCTAGCTCTCTCTCTTTTGAATCTTTTATTTAAAAATGATAATTATTTTATTCTTAATGTAATTGTGTATGTAAAGTGTTTATATTAATAAGACCATATTTACTGATTTATTAATTATTTCAAATTGATGATATAATGGTTATTGCATCAAGGTTAAACATGTTTTAAATATTTTTTATCGTGCATCTAAATCTGGAAAATAAACTGTTCTTTTAGTATGAAGTTGTCTTAATTGTCAGCATTTGTAAGTTGTTATCACCTGCCATATGGTTTCTGATTAATTCTGAAAGAGCTGTCAACCCAAAAAATTTAATTTCCTATATTTTAAAGTGACACTCATAATCAAAATGTGAAGATTTAAAGGATCAGCTACCAATTATGACTAATAAACTCTGTTTTTTTGTTTCTAGAGAAAAACAGAAATCTGAAGCTAAAGACAGAAAAGTTTTAGAAATTCTGCAAGTCAAGGATGCTAAAATACAGGAATTGGAACAGGTTGGTGTTATACCAGAAAATACTAAAAATTATTCTATTTATTTCAGATATTAGATCTTTACAATTATTTTTAATTTTTTTTGCAATAGTGTTCCTTAAGAATATCAGGGTCATTATGTCAAACCATTACTATTTTGAAACTAGTATAGTCAGATTATTCTTCCTTATTATACTTCTCTTGTGGCCTGTTATTTGTTTTCTGAATTAATAGGCTATGTTATTTATACATTAAAACTGTTAAGATAGCCTTATAGTTTTATAGTAGTATCTAGCAATTATTCATTGTTTTATTTAATTTTGCCTTTTATTATTAGCAGTTATCATTACTTCTGAAATTTGTAAATTTTAAGATGGTTTCATTTGTAGAAAAAGTCATTAACTGGGATGTTTCTATTGATCTTTTGAAAACTCGTATTTTCAAATTAGTGCAATGCTATCTTTTACATATAATCAGTAAATTATACAAATACATATGTTTATATATAAAATTATATATACATAAAATAGTATGTAATTATATAATCAGTATATTACCACTGCAAAAACCCATGTGATCAGTGCTTCCAGGAGTTATTTTCATTTCAATAAACATCTTAAAAATAAAGGTGAAAGAAATTTCCTGTAAGAATAGTCTATATCATGATATAATATTTAAATTCATTTTGTACCCAGTCGCTCATTATGGGCTAAATTATCCATAATTTTTCTGGGTTAAATGGAGGGTTTTTTTTGGCAACTATGCTTTTCTGATTCTTGACTTTATTTTCCTTCCTAGCCAATTAAAGGGTCATAAGAAATTTGAGCTACTGTTGATTATTGTTGTGAAGTTGTTTTATTAAAAGACTAAAAGTAGAAGATAACTTAGATAAAAGATTCATTTATTTTTCTATTCTCTACATCCATATAAACTCTAAAATGGAATATAGGTTTCTATATGACATATAAATTTGAAATTTATACCTTCACCCATGTTCCTCCATTTCCTATATAAAATGTTACAATTGATACTGTAATGACAAAATTCTAGAAACAACAGTTTAGTCAGTTTTTTTTGGGGGGCGGAAACAGTTGTATTTGTCACCTGAATATCAGACAATATCAAAATGCGTTCTAAGAGAAATATTGTCATGTGCCTAGTGTATTAATTAGGCTAGGCTAAGCTGCTAATAGATACAATCTTATGACAAAAGTGGCAAACATCATTTGTACTCATATTTCTTTGGGAAAAACTAGTCATATGGCCATCCCAAGATTCAGGGGGTTTGGGAAGATGTAGATCCAGGCTGAGCAATCTGTTTCTCATTTACAACTCTATTCTATGGAGGAGAACAGATTTTGGTGCTCTTTTTAGTGTCTTTTGGCATTAAGTTTGCAATGCTTTAGGGAATGCTCAGTTTACCAGATTTAGATAGCTATAACATACCATTTAAAATAATGTTGACTTTCTTAAGTGACAATATATTTTCCTCTTTTCTTTGCTAAATCCTTTTTCTACTTTCTCTTCCTTGGATACATATTATTTCATTATTTACCTTTTTGAGAAGAATCACTAAGCTCATGTATAAAGTATTAAATGCCCACAGGAGAAATTATTTGTTTGTTAGATCCCCTACTTTCTTAGCTTGAATCATGCATATTTTTGTGCAGTGATGATTATAACTTTCTACAAGATAGATTTTGAGTTCAGTTAGACAAAATATTTTATTAAATGTATATACAAACCTGTGATAGTACTATGGAAAATTCAGAGTTACAATTCTTATCTTTAATAATTTTTAAATCTCTTTGAGGAGTAAGGAGGGGATAAAAGTAAGGTGCAAGTAACTATATTCTCCTACACTAGATTACAGGTTCTGTGAGCATGGGGACCCTTGTATCATTGCCCCTTGTATACCTGGCACATAACAGATACTCATTGAATATTGTTGAATGTGTGATTTAAATAGAATAAAACCAATGTGTTATAAGTGCCATGAGAGAATCGCAAGCAGCATGCTGTAAAGGTTCAAAGGAAGGAGAGATTAAATTCTGCAGAAAGGTCTTGAAGTATTCCAATGGCTTGTAATAGTGTAGGAGGGTTTGCCCAGAATGAACACTGGGCAAAATGCATGGAGGTAGGAATGTAGGACATGTTTGGGTAATATTGCAATTTATAGTTCATTTCATAGATAATATGTAGGAGTGAGGGCTGAGAGAAGACTGATATTATGTTGGACCTGTATTAAGGAAGGGCCTAATTGCTTGAATGAAAAATTTGAATTCTACTGGTAGGCCAAAGGAATCTATCTAGGCTTTTCACTAGGGACTTAAGTTAACTGAGCTGCAGTCTATGAAAATAAAACTGATAATCAGTACATACACTTAGAAAAAGGAAAGCAGAAAGTAGAACGATGTGTTAGGAGGTTATTTCACAATCTAAGAGTAATGACCTGAGAGTGAACTATTAGGTTTGCAGGAATTAAAGGTATGTAAATTATAACCATAAGGACTTGACAGTAATTTGAAAGTGACTCTTAGGTTTTCAGCCTGAGAAACCAGGAGAACAGTGGGATTATTATCAGAAAGAAGGTTATTATCATGTGGTACTACTTACTGTGAGGGTAGGGTTTGAGCTTCTTTTTTTTTTTTTTGAGGAAGATTAGCCCTGAGCTAACTGCTGATGATCCTCCTCTCCTTTTTGCTGAGGAAGACTGACCCTGAGCTAATATCCATGCACATCTTCCTCTACTTTATATGTGGGACGCCTACCACAGCATGGTGTGCCAAGTGGTGCCATGTCTATGTGTGGAATCCAAAACGGTGAACCCAGGGCTGCTGAAGCGTAACGTGCGCACTTACCTGCTGTGCCACCGGGCCGGCTCCCACGAGTTTGAGCTTATTTTATACAATTCGTGTTTTAGTTATTTGTGAGAATTCCATTTAGATATTTTCTGCGAACTGTTGAAAGCATGGATCTGACTCTTGGGAGGGAGCTTTCTCCTTAAGATGTAGATATTTAATGTTACTGTTAGAAGACTTTAAACAGTGAGAATTCTGAGAACAGGATATTTGCTGATATTGTGAATGGTGAGAGGAAGAGCAAATTTCAGTAAAAGAGATGATGAAGAGAGAGAAGTATAATGCAATTATCTCAACTGAGAAAGGAAAGTTTCAAGAAGCAAAAGGTGCTTAATGTAAAATGCTAAAAAAAGATGGGCTTTGTAAAAAAGATATTAAATTAGGAAATCATGAATTTTTCGGTGATTTTAGAAAGCAATACAAGGGGAATGGGATATGACATTTTAAGAGATCACTGTTCTAACCAAGTAATGGAAACAAATGAGGAAATGTGACAGTGCAGAGAAAGAAGATTTTGCATTTAAAAAAATGTTAGGCAAAATATTTGAAAGTATTGGAGAAGGAAATTAAAAATACATAGTGCGAGAGCACTTACTAAGTTAGCCGAATTCTAGATGAAAGTGTCGACCGTGGGCTGAAGAAGATGTGATTCAATACATTCAATTTTTTCATCTCTTTAGTCATTCAGATATCTTAATTTTTTGTTAAAACATTATCTTTCCTCCTTTCTTTTTATTAATCTGTTGTATCTTTGTTCATCCTTTTACATTACATCTTTAGATGAATCTCTTGTATGTAATATTTGGTTGGACTTTGTGTTTTGACTCAATCTATACATCTTTACCTTTTTAAAGGTAAGTTTATCTCATCTGCATTTCTTGATATAACATGCTTATTTGGTTTTTGTTCTCTGATTGACCTTATGCTTTCTGTTTTTAATTGTGTCCTTTGTTTTCAAATTTGCTGCTTGTCTTTGTGTGTGTGTGTATGTGTATGCATGCACTTGCATGTTTTCAAATTTGCTGCTTGTCTTTGTGTGTGTGTGTGTATGCATGCACTTGCATGTTTTCAAATTTGCTACTTGTCTTTGTGTGTGTGTGTATGTGGATGCATGCACTTGCATGTTTTCAAATTTGCTGCTTGTCTTTGTGTGTGTGTGTGTATGCATGCACTTGCATGTTTTCAAATTTGCTACTTGTCTTTGTGTGTGTGTGTATGTGGATGCATGCACTTGCATGTTTTCAAATTTGCTGCTTGTCTTTGTGTGTGTGTGTATGTGTATGCATGCACTTGCATGTTTTCAAATTTGCTGCTTGTCTTTGTGTGTGTGTGTGGATGCATGCACTTGCATGTTTTCAAATTTGCTGCTTGTCTTTGTGTGTGTGTGTATGTGGATGCATGCACTTGCATGTTGATGATTTGCTACTTGTCTTTGTGTGTGTATGTGTATGCATGCACTTGCATGTTTTCAAATTTGCTGCTTGTCTTTGTGTGTGTGTGTGTGTATGCATGCACTTGCATGTTGATGATTTGCTGCTTGTCTTTGTGTGTGTGTGTGGATGCATGCACTTGCATGTTGATGATTTGGAAGGTTTAGAGTCTATAGCAGTTCTTCCAGTGATTACGTTTATTATTTTATATGTTTAACGCTACACTTGATTCTGACATTCTGAAAAATCGAACTGCACACGGGAAAAAAATGAGAAAATGAGCATATTTGTACTTATTCAGCCTTTCTCCTGCATTTTAAACTGAACTTACAGAGAGAGTAATTGGAGGACTTAATTTCCTGTTCTCAGCATTTGGTCGTACTTTTTATACTGTCAAGATTTGCAATGCTTATGTTCCATGATCATTTTCTCCCTTATTATCTAGTATAAATTCTGTAGTAAAATAGATTGTATTGTATTAGTTTTTCGCTTGCTACATAACAGATTATCACAGACTAGTTCCTTAAAACCACACACACATTTATTAAGTTGCTGTGGGACAAGAGTCTGGGCATAGCTTAGGTGGATCCTCTGCTCAGGACCTCATACAATTGTAATCAAGGTTTCAGTTGGGCTGTGTTCTCATCTAGAGGCTTGATTTGGGAAGAATCGGCTTCCAAGGTCATTTAGGTTGTTGGCAGAATCCATGTCCTTGCAGTTGTAAGACTTAAG